CCTGAAGAAGGTATTCGTTGGTTCTCGCCTTCTTGAATCGATTCGAGTGGGATGATGAATCTATTTCTTCGCCTCTTTGCCAATAAATCAGAATTCCCGTCGAGAATGGCCGGATATCTAAGATTACAACGATCAGTACATGTGATTCGATTAAGTTCTGAATAATCAGRAATGCTATCTCCTTTTTTATTTTTACCAGAAAAATACGAACTAAAAAATTTGTGTCTCGCTTGATTATTAGTTACTGAGGGGKTAGAAATATATCTTCGCTTGACAGAAAGAGAATAAGCGTTCATTTGATCTTGATCCTTGTGGATCGAACAGGGGCCTAGACTAGATCTCCAGGGCTCCCCTAATAATATCCATAAATGACTTGTTTTTKGTAAGAGATGGATATTACCATATGTAAATTCAGGTGCATGGTACACATCGGTAATCCAGTGCATTTCGCCTCTGAGTCAGAATAAATATGTTTTCGAACCTTCTCTTTCAAMTTCAAAGTGGATGTTCTCGCGCGAATCTCAGCAATCACTTGTTCTGATTCTACATATTGATCGTTTTGAACTAAAAGAAAACTTTTGGGCGGAATATACACATTGTRTATAATATCTTCACTCTCAATAGTTACATACAAGTCTCTAGAACATAGAAAMGCAGGATGCCCATGACGTGTACGTGTCGGATGAACCAAATCCTCATTGAATTTATTTTTCCATTAGAAGGGGCTCGTACATGTTCTGCAGTACCTCCTGTGAATACTCTGCCGGTATGAAAAGTTCTTAATGTTAATTGAGTGCCCGGTTCTCCAATAGATTGACCTGCAATAATACCTACAGYTTCTCCCAATTGGACCAGGTCGTCATGAGCTGGACTCCGGCCATAACATAATTGACAAATCCAAGATGGGCTCCTACAAGTAAAGGGGGTTCGAATAGAGATTGGTTGTGTTCTAAAAGTTATGAATCTATTGACAAGTCCAACCCCAATATCTTGATTTCTAGTAGCAATGCATCGCGAACCTATATATATATATATCATCTGCTAATACATGCCCATTTAATGTTTGGATAAAAATCATGTCCGTCATCATCCCATTTCAAGGACTTACAGAAATACCTCGAACAGTGCCACAATCTGTTCGACGTACAACAATGTGTTGAACTACTTCAACAAGTCTGCGCGTAAGATATCATGCATCTGATATTCGGATAGCGGTATCCACAACTCCTTTACGGGCTCCGTAACAAGAAATAATATATTTTGTTAAAGAGAGTCCTTCGCGTAAATTGCTTTGAATGGTAAATCAATCATTTGCCCTTGGGGATCCGACATTAATCCTCTCATACCTACTAATTGATGTACCTGAGATGCATTTCCTCTGGCTCCCGAAAAAGACATTATATGGATTGGATTAAAAGGACCGGTCATCCGAAAATTAGGAGTCATTTCTTGTCGCAAATATTCACTTGTGGCATACCATATCTCGATCGATTGACGTAATTTTTMTACCGCGTGTACATTCCCATAATGATGGTGTTTTTCCAAAATAAAACTTTGTTGTTTAGGGTCTTGAACTAGCCATCTTTTAGAAGGTATTGTTAAAAGATCATCAATTCCTAATGAAATGGATGCGGTGGTAGCTTCTCGGAAACCCAGAGTCTTTACTTCATCCAGGATATGTGATGTATATCCTATTCCATAGTGATCAATAAATCGACTAATAAGTCGTTTCATGGCAGTTCCGTGTATCATTTTATTGTAAAAGACATGAGGGGCCCGTTGTGCCATCAGTACCTCCATAATTGCGCTGAGTAGAATTTTACAAT